TGGATGTTTCTGTAGCAAAAAAAAAGAACTTCTTTTCCCTTTTCTGATTTAGCATCAGGAGAAATTTACAAAGGAAGAGGGATAATTAAGAGGCTCTTGCAACAGAGCTTTTTTGTTCTCAGTGCACATGAATCCTCTTCTGAAGTTACTACCAAGATACATACTTTTCACCAGAAATCTTAGAAGAATTCAACAGTTAACTGTAATCTGTTTTAAATATGATGCCATTAATGGAAGGGGAAGAGATGGAGAGTGATAAGCTTCCTTATTTTTAAATGTTGTTACTTGAAGTCTTATGCAAAACAGTAAAAAATTAGTGACAGTATATTTGCATTTTAGCCATACAGCACAGTGACATCACTGTTAAGAGCCTTACGCTGTTAACTTACAGGGCTGCATTAAACAGTGAAAGGAATAGGTGTGGGTAGCTGCCACAATTAGTGAAAACATCAGTCACACAGCAGTTTACGACTTGTTGCTATTTTGAATAGCGTGGGGAGCACGAGTGCTTTTTGTCAATGAATAGCACTGCATTCACAGCCAGCAGTGGTGAACATGCCTTCCTTAGTGCATGGTATGTGTTGCAATATGAGCAGCGGGCCTTCAGAGGCTGGATCCTGTTGTGGCAGTGTATCTGTTCAGCTCCGGCTCACAAGATTGTACCCAAAGTGCTGAGGAACATCTCGGGGTGTGAACAGTTCCCCCGAAGTTTACTTGGATTTGCACAATCAAGGTTTCTGAATCCCTTGTGTATACAGTGCCACTCTGTCCTGGCCAAGGCTGTAACTTCACTCTTAGGCTGGAAAGGTTCTTCTTGTGAAGCGCAGGGGTGTGATGAGCAGGGCTGTGTTACTTACACCCTTAGTGGAAGGGACTGGTGTTTATACAGGGTAGCCTGGGCTGGCAGCACAGGCTGTTAGCGTGTCAGGGTCATGGCCAAAGGTGACTAAAATGATTTGTTGCTTTTCCATGTTCTTCTTCTGCACTGATTATTTCCATATCACATTTGTTCTGTTTACCTGGCAAAACACGGTACTTCTAACTGCCAGCATTACAAACACAATCTGGCATCTGAAAAATTACAAGCTTTTCTTCTTCTTTCTGCTTCAAGATGAAGAGTCTTTTACAGAGAAACATTCACGTAAAAGTTCGTATTATAGATTGCAAAACCTGCCATTTCTGTTGAGTTACGTTCATTACCTGTAGGTGTTTTGAGGAAAAAAAAAATCTCTGTGCTGCTAAACCCCAAATTTAAGCGTGCTGAATTTTCTTCTCTCTGCTTAAATAACAACAGAAGTAAAGCAGATGGAGATGGGACAGTGCTGCCTTAAAGAAGTGCTAACACCAGGGGAAAGCACAGTTTATCAGAGCTGAAATTTTCTTCCTGTTTGTTCTGGGATTAGCACAGTAAGAGATTATAAAATTGCTCAAAGCCAAAAAGCTGTGAAATTGGCTGAACATTGAATAGATAAAGTGGAAAATTTGTTTTGTGAGGAGAGGAAAGGACAGAAAAGAAGGAGGGCTGGAGAAATGCCATCCGGAGGGACCTTGACAGGCTGGAGAGATGGGCCTGTGAGAACCTCATGAAGTTCAACAAGGCCAAGTGCAAGGTCCTGCACATGGATCAGGGTGATCTCAAGCACAAGTATAGGTTGGGTGGAGAATGGATTGAGAGCAGCCCTGAGGAAAAGGACTTGGGAGTGCTGGTGGATGAGTAGCTCAACATGAGCCAGCAATGTGCACTGGCAGCCCAGAAAGCCAACTGTATCCTGGGCTGCATCAAAAGAAGCGTGGCCAGCAGGTCGAGGGAGGTGATTCTGCCCCTCTGCTCTGCTCTCATGAGACCCCACCTGGAATACTCCATTCAGCTCTGGAGTTCCCAACACAAGAAGGACATGGAGCTGCTGGAGCGGGTCTAGAGGAGGCCACAAAGATGATCCAAAGGCTAGAACACCTCTCTTATGAAGACAGGCTGAGAGAGTTGGGGCTGTTCAGCCTGGAGAAGGCTCCAGGGTGATCTTGTTGCAGCCTTCCAGTACTTAAAGGGGCCTACAGGAAAGCTGGAGAGGGACTTTTTACAAGGGCGTGTAGTGATAGGACAAGGGGCAATGGCTTTAAACTGAAAGAGGGCAGATTTAGATTAGATATAAGGAAGAAATTTTTCTCTCTGAGGGTGTTGAAGCACTGTAACAGGTTGCCCAGAGAAGTTGTAGATGCCCCATCCCTGGAAGTGTTCAAGGCCAGGTTGGATGAGGCTTTGGGTAACCTGGTGTAGTGGAGGGTGTCCCTGCCCATGGCAGGGGGTTTGGAACTAGACGATCTTTGAGGTCCCTTCCAACCCAAACTATTCTATGAGTCTGTGAAATCACTGAGGCAATTAAAGAGATGATGTTGAATTCGGCCTTGCTATGAGCAAGCACTGCTCCCTCCTGCAGTGCTGGAACGGTACTCACTTATGTTGGATGTGACTTGGGAGTGTGAGCTGTACATGAGGGCTTGATTAAGTGAATGTAAAAAAAGTGTTCAAGCTTCGTGAAGGAGGATTGGAGGAATTTACCTGAAGTAACAGGTCAGCAGAAATTCTGGAGTAATTGTCTTGACAAAATCGTAACTTTCTGACCCATTTTATCTTCAAAGCTGCAGTAAACACAGGGACTAGAAGAGCTTGCAGCTCTTCAGCCAGGAAAGGTGGAACAAGAGTATTATTTACACCACAGGGAGGAATACCAGTAGCCGAATGGAAAGAAAGTTGAAGCAAACATCCCTGTTCACAGCTGAGGAAGGGAACACCACTGTAGCTGTGATGGAGCAGGGCTTAAACAGGCAGAGAAAAAGTTGCTCATCTGCAGTAATCTGCAAAATGAAAGAGACAAGAAAAAAGGAGGAATCTGGCCGTTGTTATTGGCGATGATGGAAAATGACTAAGCAGGTTATCAATACAAGATAAAAAACAAGACACAGGTGTTTTTCAGTCAACAAACCAAGAAACTTAACTGGAAGAGCAATGGATGCTTGAAAATTGTCATGGAAGGCAATTTGTCATTGCCCCCATTGAAACAAATGAGCCAGAAAATGGAGTTTCAGGAAGGTGAAAAAAAAACCCAGCCAACAAACAAACCCAAAACCACATCCACCCTCCAGAAATTTCAGCACAAAAATGTTGCAGCAGGGCCCATTAGCCCCAGGAACTCAAACAGAATTCAGACAGCAATGGCCTCTGCCACAGCAGCCTTTTTCATCTGAAGCGAATGTGAGAGTAGCAAGATATAAAGCATCAACTGGAAGTGTCACAAAAAATGTGGGTGAAAATGCAGAAAAAGGAAGAACAAAAGAAGCAGCAAAAGGCATGTTACAGATCACAGAGGTCAAGGAAATATGAAAATTACGTGCTACTGGAATAACTATCAGAAGTGACTAAGTTATTGATAGAGTATTTTTAATTATCAGAACACCTGTTGAGCATCAAACACAGAAAAACATCAATCACCAAGGGCTTTCTTTCAACTGTATAGAAAACGTACTGATGCAAGAAGAACAAGGCATGTTTGGGTTCTGACGTGGAGTTGACATGGAGGAAATGACAGGCAACGTGTATGTAGCAGGAGGAACAAGTGACTAGAGAGAAAACACGCTCCCTGTATTACATGTGATTTGGGTTAAAACAAATTCTGTCACCAAGGTGCTTGGCTCTGAAGAGGTAGTGATCCAGAGATTAGAAGAAACAAGGTTTAATCAGTGAAACTTCTTTCAGCATAAACCTTAAATTAGATATTGGTATGGCCTCTTTGTGGAGTGGCTCCAGTTTATTCTTCTTTCCTAGTTCAGTTCTCTACTTTTCAGTTTGTCCTTGTTTTATTTACTGTATAGTTTGTTTTGTCCTTTTCTGCTTTCTAACTGTATTGATTTTCCTACACTGTGATCATCTTCTATGTTTTAGGAGATTCCAAGCTGAGAGGAACTCGCCAAAAACAATCTACTGATAAAAATAGTTTAGCAAAGTATTCTCAGTCTTTGAGCTGAACCCGTGTGAGCTTTGATAAAGTTTTTGCCAGGGATGGTTTGGATTTGGGTCACGTTGGTATGAGGAAAAGGGGCAGAGACACACTAATCTACACCATGTGTTATGATATGAATTTAGATCAGAGGACTGCTGCTCTGAGAATTTTCTTTGCTCAAGCAAAAGAGAGACTTTGCACTTTTAGCAGGTGGATGTCAGGCTGGCGCTGTGAAGGCAACCAGGTCTGAGAGCTGGTCACAGCCAATGCCATGGCATCAGCTCAGAGCAACATCCCTCCTAGACTAGAGCAGAATTCCTCCTTCTTACCTGGTAGTTTACATGAAGAGCAGAGCCATTGGGAACAGATATTTCCAATCTATGCAATAAAACATCATATTGTCTCAAGAGGAATTTAGCCTGTAGGATTACTTACTCTTATCTTAGGTGACTCTTCGTTTTTCTCCATTATCTTCTATGTTTCTTCCTTAGGCTTCACTTCTCTTTTCCTTCCTCAGCCTCTCTGCCAAAACATAAGCAATGAAAACAATTAGTATAGCTGTTACATGACTATGAGATTCATGAAGTTAATGACCCAGAGGACTGAGGGAACAGTGTTGGTCATGTTTCCAAGAGATAGTTTCAGACCATTTGTAGACTTGGGAAGATAACATTACATGAACTGACATTCAGTTCAAATTTTTTTCTAGTTATTTTTTGCAATTCTCAGAGTGGAAGCTCATGCTCTTTTTTTCTAGTGACTGCTTAGAGCTAGCAAAGTTCAGTTATTCCACAGAGATCACATCATTACACTGCGTGGTTGGATGTTTGGTCCCAATTTAGGAGGTTTGCAGCTCATACTTACCATTCCAAAGGGGAACAGCAGTCTGGGCTCCTTGGAAAGGTCTGCAGAGGACCAGCTGCATCTCCAAAGTCAGTTAAGAAACTTGTGCCTTAACACAAGCTTCCAGAAGCTTGTCCCAATCAGTACAGATGTTCTTTACTTTCCTGACATCTCCTTTAAATCAGAACCCTGTGCATTGATATTTTCACTATGAATTTAATTATTTTCTTGGTCTGGCTTGCACTCTGCACATGCCTGTGCAGGTCTAGCGCCTCCCTGCTGTGATGAAATTAGTTTCTCCCAACGTGGGCAGAGGGGCTTCTACAGATCAGGAAGCAACCTTCTAGATTAAGCAAGTTGTCTGAGGGTCTAAAGGCGGTGGTAGAGTGGCAGATCTTGATCTTGGCTCTTATGGCCATCCTGCAACCACAGACCTGGCAGAAAAAAATACCCTGGCTTAGAATGTCTGGAAAACTGCAGTGCAAAATGACTAGTGGTATCAATCCCCAGGATATCTGGAAGCGACAGGCTGTCCCAGCACATCATGTCTTATTCTTTGTTGTACCTTTACCTGTTTTGTCTTCTGTCATTTATCAAATAAAAAGCTACAGTTAAAGCTGTAAGAGGTGCACTTAAGACCTAGCCAGTCATGTAGGGAGATAGGTTCTCTCTCAGCTTCACCAGGTGCCCTGGTGAAGCCATTGGGAGAAGCTGAGCTGATACTCCTCCACTTTTCTCATTGTGAATCTGGCCTTGAAAAAAGAAAACATCCTTTTATTCCTTAAATGCCATCTTTTCCACCTACACTGACTTAAGAACGTTCATTTCTACCTGCACCCTTTGCTCTGTGTCCCTTCTGGGGGCTGTGCAGGCACAACCTCCTTCCCTGGTGCAGGAAGGCACCACCTGTTTGATTTAACTGGCCATTTGGAATATTTCCTAGGCTACCAAACTCACAAAGAACTGAAATGTCACTTCAATGGATATTTTAGCAGCTCTGTATTGGGTAACAGTCCCTCCTTGCTGTGCCCATCCTCCCAGATCTTGGACTGCAGCATAGTGTCAGGAATATAACCCAGGTCTCTGTACCTCAGGTCCTTCTGCAATGCATAACAATACTTCCAGGAAAAGGCCAAAAACTGATGAGCGGAGATTTCAAATAATTTCTTTAGAAAGAAAATAAACAAAACAATGAACCACTTGTTCATTGAAAAATGAACAACCAAGCCACAAGGCAAACCCCCAGCTAATTTAGAAGATATTTTTCCATATGAGCAGCACAAAAATTACTGCACGTACTTGCTGCTCTGTTGGATGTCCTTGACTCTGGCTGGACCTGTGCAGCCCTCTGAGAGCTGGTGGAACTCAGGGACTTGCACTCGCACTGCCAGGCCAGCTCCCACCCTAATCAGGGTGCAGCAGAGGGGCCTGGGCTCAAGAGTTGAAGCAGCTTTAGGTTCAAGGAAGCGAGGCTTTCACGGAGCTACCAAAAGGTTCCTCTTTTGGTAGTGAGAGCATGGTCCAGCCCCAGGACAAGGAACCCAAGACACAGCTTCATCAAGAGATGTCTGAAAGTTTTTCACTCTGTTCAAGCCCTTACGAGAATCTTCAGTTAATCTTACATCAGCTAACAGATTCAGCAGTTGTGTAAATAATCACCTTTTTGATCTACTGCTGAACAAAGACAACGCTTGTCTAGAGAGTAAGTGAGCTCTATGTGGCAACAGTGGACTGCGCCTGCGGCACCTGCTGTGGGCAGAAGGTTTTACACCCTCGTCTCATTAACTTCTGATTTATCTCTGAACCAAACTGTCAGTTTGTCCTTCTGCTTCCCCAGACCACACTCCCCACCTGAGAAAGCCAAGCTTTGCACCAGAGACTTCTCTGTTAACAGGAGAAGCAAGGGCTGGAATTTGGAGATTATTTAAGGCTTATGGTAACAGTTAAGGACTACCATGTCTTCTCCTAGTCCTTGGTGAATTGGGTCAGAAAACCATATGGCCAGGGTTGACCAGGGAGCCTCACTTGGACAGTAACAAGCTGTATTGCCTTTGAGTCAGGGAAGACACAGGGGCTTGGAGCACCACAGCTGTGTGTTTTTATTAGCTCTGCCCCAAGGAGCACGCGTCACACACTGGGACTGCAGCATGCTGGGTGCTGTACAGCCCAGCCCCTACACCACGGCTTTTCTAAAACAAGAGTGTAGGGGGTGCAAGGAGACCCTCCTGGGTAGCACAATAAGCCACAACGAGCAGAGATACAAGCCAGTGCTGTCACGATCAGCGAGGGGTTGGAAGGTGTGTGGGGGCTGCCAAGGGAAACAGAGGTGAAAGCACAGGACCATGACGAGCAGGCACAGGGGAGTCCAGTGCCTGGGACAGGCTCAGCTCAAGCCTGAGTGATGCTAAAAGGGAAGGGAGGAGCCCATGAAGTGTCCTAATGTGTGCGCGTGCAGAAAATTAGACTGCTTATATATAATGAGAAAAGGAGAGAAATCTGCTGGAGAGATTCAATAGAAGAAAATGTGGTCAAACAACTTAGAGAGAGAGAAGGAGCCAAGGCTGATAGTTGAGGGAGGAAATCTTCCCTGTTCAAGCCGCTATCCTGTGTAACGCATGGCAAATACCATCGCAGCCTTACCTCTCACCATACTCTGGGCCTGGAGGGTGGGTGCAAGGTCCATGACTGTGCAGCACAGATGTTGTCATTAATGCTGTACGTGCTTCTCTATAAAAGTAGAAGGTCCCTGCTGATTTCTTTCTTTGGGATTCTCCCCCAGGCCATGTTTGAGCTGGTTACTTCCGAAGCCTCATATTACAAGAGTCTGAATCTGCTGGTGTCTCACTTCATGGAGAACGAACGTCTGAAAAAGATCTTACACCAGTCTGAGGCGCACATCCTCTTCTCCAACGTCCTGGACGTCATGGCGGTTAGTGAGCGGTAAGACAGCTGCTGGATTTTTTTCCAGCTGAGTGGCATCACTTTAGCTAGCCTCATTTGTAGAGGGATGGAGGAGCTGACTAGGGGTGGTCTGTTACCCGCTGTCTTTTCAAAGAGCCTGCAGACACACTCATTGCTTTGAGCCCCAAGGGCGGCTTCTGGGAATTACCTAGGACAGACGGGTCGCAATTAATATGAGCTCTGGGTTTCTCGTCTAGCTTCCTGTTGGACCTCGAGCAGCGGGTGGAAGAGAATATTGTGATCTCAGATGTGTGCGATATTGTCTACCAGCATACAGTTAATCACTTCTCCGTGTACATCACCTACGTCTCCAACCAGACCTACCAGGAGAGAGCTTACAAGCAGCTTCTGTGAGTTCCAGTCCTTGATGCTAAATTATTTTGCAAAATTGTGTAGGCCACGGCTTGTAGCTGTAATTTTGATATTTATGGGAAAGGGCTAGATAGTACAGAAACAGGATTTCCCACTTCACTGATTTTCCACTGCACCTATAAAGGGAAAACACAATTAAAAGGCTTTATAGCGAAGGTGGGGTGATACGGTATGCGAGTAACATACCAAGTAAATTCAGAGCCAGCAGTTCCCAACTGTGGGAAATATTTATGATGTACACAGGAATACATGCTTGTGAAATGTATGTATTTTTAAACAGGAAGTAGAGGCAGGAGATTGAAAAGCCAAGAATATAATACAGCTCTCTGATGACAAGAACAGCCACTGCTTTTCCTGAGCTTCTCAGCAAGGCATTCGACCTTCCTAAAGTTGAGGAATTTTTCTTTTCAGAGAAAAAAAAAAAAAAGAAGCCATTTTCTTCACATTCTGGTGTTAAACACACAAATGTTACCTAGGCCTGAGGATATAATCCAAGATATTTTTTTCAGTATTTTTCAAGTTTAGCAAGTGTTTTGATCTGGTAGGAGTTCTCTTACACCAGCTCAAAACAAAGAGTGCCCTACAAGCTTGTCTTTGAGCAGGGGAATTAATTTTTCTTTAGCTACAATGTCCTGGATTCTTTCAGGACAGCCCATTGCATATGCTGCACTGTATTTCCTTCCATAGCAGCAGCTGGTTCAGGGGAGTGTAACAACCCATAATCCTTTCCTTTCTCTGCTCTCCAGCTTTTGAGGCAAAAAACCCAAGCCAACACTTTAAGGGGCCTCTGTTGAGCTTGGCCAACTGTTCTCTCGAAAAGTACCGCAGGGTTTCCTTCAGTCAGAGATGAGCAATACAGCTGTAAAATAAAAACAGTTTGCCTAGAGCCATTAGCTAAACACTCAGAAGCAAAGCAGCAATAGGCTGGATTACTTGAGCTTGAAAAGGACCTGTTGGAGACAGAGATATTCCTAGATGTAAATTTAGAGGGCAGCGTTTTTTTCACCTGTGGGAGAACATAAAGCAAATGGAAAAGAACAGGCTCCCTTCCCCAGGCTCCTAGGTAGCACAAGAATTTTGCAGCACTTGGCTGAACTCGAAGCCTGAGGTGTGTCACAGTTCCCCCCCAATTTGGCTGCTCCTCAGACACACGCAGATCCGTTCTGCTGTGGCTCTGGTAAGTCCCACCATCAAACAAGTACCTGCTGCAGCAGGGAGAAACACTTACAATGGCTTCATGTGGATCATTACGAGCCACATACGGTAAAGACAGGTTTTGCAGAGTTAGCAATGTCTTCCCATCCATGCTGTTTTTGCTAGCCAGGACTCCAGCAGTGTCAGTCTCCCTCAGGGCCCCACAGTTGCCAAGAGGCACTGTCTTTGACTATGGCAGCTGGAGCTCGTGAGGCTGCTCCATGCAGCTGTGCCCGTGGCCCAGCAATGCCCTCATCTGCTGCGAACACCATCAGGGAAGGCCCGGGCATGGCCCGTGCCCTTCTCAGGCCAGATAATGATTTCCATCCTCCAGCTAAGCAGGCAGGAGCAGCCAAGCTTGAGCTGTTTTGTGGCTTGTCTTGTTCTTACGACTGTGTGAATTTCACCTTGTCACAGAGTTCCAACTGTGTAAAAATATATAATTATGCCTCTGACTCATCTACTTGGACACACACCCCATTCACACACACCTACGCACACAGCGTATGCTGCTGAGCTAGATGTGCTCACACATGTGAATGCTACCATGGATTGTACATTAAAAGTCTATTTTTTCCCTCCCCCAACACTATAAATAGTTATAGATTTAAACTAAAATACACCTAGAAGCATTCAGTCCGCTCCTTCCCTCTTTTCTTTTACTGGGAGAGGCCAGGCAGATGCTGTATCTGGGACTAAGCTGCTTTTGGGTCACCAGCCACATACCAGAGTTGCAGTCAGGGTAGCAGGTAGCGCTCAAAAGCCCTCACCTTCTCTCTCTCTCCTCTCAGACAGGACAAGCCAGCTTTCCGGGAGGTGATTTCACAGCTGGAGCTGGATCCCAAATGCAAAGGCTTGTCCTTTTCTTCCTTCCTGATTCTGCCATTTCAAAGAATCACTCGACTGAAGCTGCTGGTGCAGGTAGAGTTTTAGTCTTCTATCTCTCCCAAAGATCTTCTTGATCACTCCTGGAATTCTTCTATCCAGCAGTTGTAAGTGAGGCTTAGATGCAGCCATGATCCACCCTGGGGCTGGATAAAGACTTTCCACGGAATCAAACATTACCAACAACTATGGAAAAAAGATTAGTCACTCAGAAACCATCCCCAAATTAGTGTTGAATTTGCCAGACAGCTTTAACTGAGCAGAAGAGTTGAGAGGAACTTTGTCAAGCTGCTAGAAGGGGCAGCAACAGTCCATCAACCCGGCTGCCTGATGGTTAGGATGCTGACACGTGGATGCACAGTGCAGAGCATGGAAATGCTTCATGTGTAATACTCTGCATCACGGTGGCTTGGACCAGACTGTCAGCTATCTTCCCCCTGTGCTTTTCCAGCTTGTCTAAACGCTGTGCTGGAAGACATCCTTCGGGGGATGAGGAAACAGCTCAGTCCCAAATGGTCTTAACCCACTGGGATTACCAATAGCACTGTCTGTTAGTGCCAGCTCTAGCTATTTTTATTTATTCATTTATTTTTATGAAATAGGAGTCTGCCTGCCATATTTCTTTCAGATACAAGGTCAGATGGGAACAGGTTTTAATGAAAAAGAGGAACTAAGAGGTGAGAGTCACTGTACTCTGTTGCCTGTTCTGTAATTAGGCTGATGGCCAGAAATAGCTCTGAGGCAAGCAAAGACTTTTCTGTGCTGTCAGACTGGGATCAGAGTTAACACAGCCTTTCCTCCTCTGCAGAATATTTTGAAGAAAGTGGAAGAGAAGTCTGACAGGGAAAACACTGCCCTGGATGCACATAAAGAACTGGAAACAGTAAGTTTGAATGAGCTAACTGAAGGCCATTAAGATTAAAACATCGTGCTCATTTCCTCCCCTCCCAGAAAAGACCTACAAACTATATTCACTCCTAGAGCTATCTCTTTGAATCCTTTCACTATGTTTCAAGAGTAATTTTTTTCCTTAAGTCTTCCTTGCTCTCAAAGATGGACTAATCTAGCAGCACTTAGATGTCGGTGATGAGGAATCCCTTGATAACAACAGATGTGTATGTTTCTGCTGTAGGAAAGGGCAGAGAGAGTGTTTTCCCTTGGGTTCTTCACAAATACAAATTGTTTTTGCAGATACCTGAAGGTGATGGATTCCACTGAGATGTAATTAGCTGCAACAGGCAGCAGAGTTCACCTGTGTCAGGTTTCCTCCAACACAGCATGCTTCTTCCTCTGATCTAGAATAACAGTTTCATACTGAAGTACTCAAGCCAGCTTCCCTGAAGCTGGCAGGTAGGTGGGGTGTTCAGTTGTGCTAGTTACTGCTGTGTACAAAACGCCAGGAAGACATTGATTGGGGTGTTTTCCATCTGGGCTGGTCCTGACATGGTCAGACAGGACAATCCCACCTCCAGGCTACGTATCTGAATGGTCTGGATGTAGCTGGCAGCTATGTGGGCTGGGACAGAGTGTTTGAACCTTTCTCCATCAGAAGCTTGGAACATCTCTTGAATCCTGTAGTTCAATATAAGTATTTGAAGTTGAAAATTGTGCTAGGACATGAGCCTGAGGATACGGTTGCAGCTTCTGACTGAAATACTAGAACAAAACGGGCTCTTGGATTTGCCCTGAACTAGTCTAGGAAGCGTATGCTTTACAGATCACTAGGGATAAAGGTAAAGACAGAGACCTTAGCAATGAAGAATGTTCTGCATTAGTTGGTATTTGCAGAATCCCTCATGATGTATCTGGTAGCCAATTGTTTTTCCATTGGTCAAAAGCCTGAGGAAAGCTGTAATATGCAGATAACTACCACTGCTGATGGAAAAATGCTCTTTTTATATTCAGCTGACAGTGACTCACGTGATCAATTTCATAACTCCCTTTGCATGGTTACTTACCTGAAAATGTTTAAGTTTAGATGCCTAATGTCCAGCTAGGTGCAGGCATCGCAATGGAGACCATCTGGTGCTTATTTTCTTTAGAGGTATCCTGTTTGATAGGTAGGAGCTGATCGTTTCAGTTGCTGATATTCTGGTGGATTTTGAGTAGCAGAAACAGAGCACAAAGCAGAGCTTGTTCTGCAACATAATTTTTCTACCTAGCCAGTTCTCAAGAGAGTTGCTTCTTATGAAACAGGCAGTGGCATCTAGGTTAAGGTCCTTGTAATAGGGTAGTACCTGCACGTTGGTTGCGGTTTTTCAGTTAAAAGCTTGTACTCAGAACACAACTAGGCTCTGTGTGATGAACGTCCCTTTCCCTAGGACATTTCATAGCCTTGGCATCTGGTGCTGCTTGGCAGGACCACCGCATTTGCATCTTTGAAATGAGGATCTTTGGCTTCATTCTCCTCTTGAAGATGATACTGCGCATGTACCTCAAGTGTTGGGGACAAGAAAAATGAGATACGTGGTGTGTCAGGATCTGGCAAACGAGCTGTTCCCTTTGCTAAGCCAGGAGTGTTGCTTAATACTGTCTCATTCAGTAACTGAATGCAGCCATCTAACACGTCCTCTGATATTCAGCTTCCAGCTATAACATCTTCTGAGTGTTTGAGGGTTTTTCTCTTTTTTTTTTAAATTTTATTTTTCCTTCACTTTTTCATGCAAATACAGTGCAGGTAGAAGAGCTTGGCTTGGTCAGTTCCTGTTACAGCAAGGCACTTACCCTGTCCTGGTCAGGCCTTTCTGGGCTGTTCATCATCACTTACCTGCTTAAGACCAGTGGAGGCAAATCTTTCTACTCTCTTTTTTTCCAGGTGGTGAAGGCATGTAATGAAGGTGTCAGGAAGATGAGCCGAACAGAGCAGATGATCAGCATCCAGAAGAAACTGGAATTCAAGATCAAGGTATAAGTATGGGCTGGTAACCTTTTGCAAACAGCACACCAACAGCATCCGGGTGTGTGCACATACGCACCAGTACTAACCCAGTCACACTCCTTTTAGTGAGTGTTCAGCAGTAGCCTGCTCCACGTTGTTCCCCTCCAAAGCCTTTGAAGGGGATGCTGCTGCTGTGGGCACTGCATCCGTGCACATGATCTCCATGCACATACGCCACAGAGACCAGGGCAGCACTGAGGCCACCATGTTGCGCGTGTACCCAGCTGTGACACACTGGCATCCAACTGCCTGTGTGCAGTGGGTGGCTCCTGCTCCAGCACTCGGTTCTGGCTCTTCCCTCTCACCTCTCTCCGAAATGCAGGTCAGCTTTCAGCTGTTGTTTTACATTACAAATGGCATTAAGAAAGATGGAAGCTACAAAGCAAAACACTTCAAAGCTAGAAAATACCAAAGTGAAGACTGTCCCACCATTTTAATTCATCCTTCCCTTTATGCATTCTGTACAGCCTCTAATTATCGCTGATGATCTGTTTTGGCTACACTCAGGGAATGACTGAATCAATTTTTAACTGTCTAACCAGATCTCATTTAATATATGCCATGAAACTCCAGTGCTGAGTATAAAGTCGCCAATTCTTTGCTCAAGTGCTATGTAAGTGCTTCTCAGGCCTGTCTGCTTCACAAACTTTAAGGAGCCTATTTAAGATTCTCAGCAACCTTTTTATGTACCTGAACAACCAAAAAAAAGAAAAAGAGACCATTTGTTTGGGAAGCCACACTAGGCACCCAAAAATTTGATTTTTCCAGAGCACTTTACCAGCCTATCAGGGATAGACCAAAGGACAGCATTAGATTGGGGAAGCTACAAGGATGCCTTCATCTCTTGTAAAGCTGACGCTGTAATGACAGCCAGGAGCTGGTTCATCTCTGGAGCAGGTCTGCCTTGGTGAAAGAGTGCTAGAGGATGGAAAGAAAGACCGTGACGAACCCTGGGAGGGAGTGAAGGCAGAAAGAGTAGCTGTTATGCAGATGTTTTCCAATATTTCAGTCATTTGACTGGAAGCATAGTGTTCTTCTAATATAAGACGTGCTTTGTTCTGGAGTTCTTGTTTTTAACACGATGTGTGGTAAAACTCTAGTAGAAGTGCTGTTGTGGCCGTGTGGACAGTATCTCCTCCTGGCTGGGACAGACTGAACCAGTGAGAACCTGTTTTTTTTGTAGCCAAAAGGCTACATACATGGTTTTGAAAGTCAGTCTCCCTGGCCAGAAAGGTTCAGCTCAGGTGACAAGACATGGCATCTCCAGAGACAGATCACGCTGTGCAGGGCGTAGCCTGGTGTTTAAATCCAGCACTTGGCACTCCAGCATGGCCGTCCTTGAGTGTTTGTTCATCCTCAGGCCCCTTCCGTATCCCTGTCTGAGCTCTGTTACACCCTGTGCTGGGCTGCGGTGTGGATGGCAGACCACACTGCCCTCTCTGTGCAGCTCTGCTCCATCCTCTGCAGTTCAGGTTGTGGTGATGACAGCTCACCACCCTTCCTTTTGCATCTCTCATTGCTTTCAGCATCTTGACTGCATAAGCCCATGGGTTTTTCTTGCTCTCCTGATCTTTGCCGTCTTTTCCTCACTTCTAGTCTGTGCCCATCATCTCTCACTCCCGCTGGCTGCTGAAGCAAGGGGAATTGCAGCAAATGAATGGTCCAAAGACATCACGAACGCTTCGCACCAAGAAACTCTTCAGAGAAATCTACTTGTTCCTTTTCAATGATCTGCTGGTAATTTGCCGGCAAATTCCTGGGTGAGTGCGAAATCCAGGTAGTACGCGGGGTTCTTCATTAGTCCTGCTTGCCCCTGGGTTGACTCTTCATGGGTGGCACAGCTCCCTCCAGCTGAAAATTTATAGCAAACAGGACTTAAAGAGATTGCAGGCCAGGTTTCCCAGCAGGGTAAGCATGCATGTATAAGTCCACTGGTTTCTGCAGAGTGGCAATGAGTTACATCAACTGGTGGGCTGACCCAGGAGGCCTGTCTTCCTGTCAAGAAGTGATTTTTGACTCATTGAGGCCTGAAGAACAGCTCAGATTTAGTCAAATTTCTGAAAAAGCAGGCTAGAAAATCTGAGCAGCAGGGAGGGGTCTAAGCTTAGGCCTGAGGCTCGCCATTATATTTGACATGGTGTAACCTGCCTCAGGAGATGGAGAACGTCATCATGCTCAGGACTATGTCCTTGTGTGACTAGACACTGGTGAAACACAGCAGCACACACAGATGGGTCCCAGAGAACAGCGTGCTCTTTGTAGCGTTAACTAGACTCACCAGCAGAGAGCATCTCGCTAGTCCAACATTTCTAATAAACATGTCGCCGCAGCGTCTGTACGCCTGGAAATATTTTGCTTCTGCGGCAGCGTGTATCCAGAAAACAGAGGCGTTTTGCAAATAGGAATGAATTAAGCCTCACAGTCCCGTTTGAGGGAGCAGCATCTGCGTTTTGTACATGGGGAGCTCAGGAGGAGCGAGCAACTTCTTCTAGGCCATGTGGGATGCCTAAGGCGGAGCAAGGGGAGAGTCTCTTGTTTGCGGTGGGTTTTCGTAGCCACCCACTCATCCCTTCCCACAGCAGGGCATCTTTTATTCTCCTGCCACACAGAGGTTCCTGGTCTGTGTCCCCACTACAGTTCTGGGTGGCTGAAGCCAAATTCTCCTGGGATAACTGCAGTTTTTCCCAATCTCCTCTTTAACCTCTCGTAGGGACAAGTACCAAGTGTTCGATTCAGCTCCCCGGGGGCTTCTTCGGGTAGAGGAGTTAGAAGACCAAGGGCAGAGTTTGGCCAACGTCTTCATCTTGAGGCTGCTGGAGAATGCAGATGACCGGGAGGCCAGCTACATGCTGAAGGCATCATCCCAGTGAGTACAACGCAGTCATCCCACCAGCACTCAGCACTGCTATCTCCCTACACCCATGCAAGGGCAGCACCCTGCCTGCATCGGGACCAGCATTCCGGGCTTACCAGGGTCAGGCAGGCAGATATCCCACTGCTGCAAAAGCAAGTAGGACGTACGCTGTACGCGCACCAGCAGCTCACGCGCAAAGGTCAGGGCCGTGCCTGTGAAGCAAAGTGCCTCCTGCTTGTAGGCAAAGATGGGAGAAGCAGCCTCTTCCTCAGCGCCTTCCACAGCCGATCTCGATCTCGCACAGCCCTTCTGCTGCTCAGGGCCTCCTTGTCTCCCTGGATACAGGTTTTTTTGGCTCGCTGATTTTTCACTTCAGGCTCTAACCAGCTCAGACCAGGCAAATGATTCAGCTGTGCTAACACAGACCTGATTGTTTTGGAGCTCGAGGCACAGCTTTCTCATTGACCTACACCTTAGCAGGCCCACGCTTTCCAGGCTCAGCGTCTGTGCTATCACAGGTGTACGTGTACCACCAGTGAAACAGCTGCCAGAGATGATGCGCACACCCAGCTTGATGTTACTTTGCTGTCAGTAGGCCAGTGTGCAACATCCATATTCCTGGACAGACACCAGCCCCAGCTGGGACCACGTCCTGCTGCTGCCCCAGGGGCTGCACCCTGACCCCCCCAGCACAGCACAGCACCGGGATCAGGAAGACAAGCCCCCGGCACAGCGAGCAACTGCGCCTTGTGCCCAGACACGTGACTGCAGCTTTGCTGTACTGAAAATAGAGACACCAGTCATGTTATGCAGGGCAAACGCACGTTTGACGTCTGTGAGGCTGAGCTGTGCGGAGAACGGTAAACCAGGCCAGGGTTTGCCTCAGCTCAGGGGAGGCAATCGCAGTTCCTTGTTTCTGCGTTCTGTCCCATCTTCTGGATGGCCACAGTGAGCGTGTGATCCAGCACACGGCTTGCCAACAGGTCTTGTGCACTGAGATGCGATGTAGCAACTGCTGAAGGCTGCTGTACCAGAGCTGCAGGGCAGTATCAAGCACAAACTGGAGAACGGAAGAATTAGAAGACATAAATGGGTGCCAAACAGACTGGTGCCTCTGTTCCACAGCTCCTGTAGCATTTCCCAGCTCTGAACCCAGACAGCAATGATGACCTGCATGGTGGCAGCTTGCAGCTAGTGCCCTAGGTGGGCTCTGCCAGGAGCTGGCAGTACATTTGGACACAGCTGGTCGCAGGGGCAGGACTGGAGCACAGGTGGGCCCCTTACGGGCTGAGACAAGCTGGGGGCTCTGGGCAGGATCCAAAGAGCCCTGCAAGGAGCTGTGGGCATGGCCAGCCTGCAGATAGGGCCACAAGCACGGTAGGACCCTTGGTTTGATCTCTGTGTGCCAACCCCTCGGTATGTAGGGCCCTCATCCTGCATATCTCCATGGCGTGGGGGGCTGCACTTGACCTGCAGCTGCAGGTGTTTTCACTGGTCCTTGGTGTCGTGCTTCAGCCCTGAAGCACAAGGTATTCCCAGCCCTGCAGATCAGCCTGCCAGCGCTTGTCCTTCACGTCTCCCTTTTAGGCACCTCTCCTCCCAGAAGACACTCTGGTGGCTTTAGATGTGTGTCAAGTTCAGGCTTTGAAACTACCATCTGAGAAGGCAGAAAGTTCTGGCTCCCTCTGGGCCAGGAGCACAGCTCCTTCTCCAGGCAGGAGCTGGAGCCCGTCAAGATGAACTGCCCTGTTTCCAAGCGGAGCTGAAGGAAGCCTCAAGGGAGCAGCAGGCCTGGGGCTTCTTCCAGCACCTGTGAAATCCACCGTCCTGCTGCAGGCCCAGGTTTTGCATAACAGCATGCTGGATCTGGCAACATGTTCACACGGGACTTGTCTCATCTGCTGCCAGGCGAGCGGTACCCTTGGTATGCCGCAGCGTTCGTCTGCAAGTGAATTAATCAGCTCTGCCCTTTAAATGTTCCCGCACAGCAGCTGCGGGAATAAATGGTTCCTCTAACTGTGTTTCTCCAGGAAAAACTGCTCCTGTTGACCCAGTCCAGCCAGGAGCTGCCTTGGCTGGTCAGAGCTCAAAGGATGCCAGGCCCCCACCCTGCTGCTCTCTCTCTGAAGCTGTGCTGCTTCCCAAAGGTGGCTCTTGCTTCTTGTGGGGACAGCCAGCCTGGTGGCCCTGCAGCAAGCCAGGCTTGTGTGGCACGTGTGACATCCCAACCGGTGTGTGCGAGAAGGGGGCTCGGAATCACCAGTGAGTCCAGGACCCTGGGGGACACAGGCAGGAAAGGGTTGTGAGGGGAGAAATTAGGAGCCCAGGGCTGGTTGGGATCCCTACGACTGTCTCAGGCTCATGGCCTCTGTTTATCTCCCCTGTCCAGGAGCGAAATGAAGCGCTGGATGATTTCACTGGCCCCAAACCGGAGAACCAAGTTTGTTTCGTTTACATCTAGGCTTGTTGGTAAGAGACTCAGCATGGGAGTCAGGAGCTCTTCACCCCTGACCCCAGGGCACCTTCTGCCCTGATCTCAGACGAGCTCCAGACTTGGGGCTTCTCTTGAAGCTGAACCCTCTCCCTGGCGTCCCCTTGCATTTCCCACCATCGACACTCACTTGTCTCTGGGCCTGGCCCAGACCTCGCTCCCCTCCAGCCTGGGCTGGGCTGCACCAGCACTCTCCCTCCCACCCACACTGCTCAAGCGTGGCACTGTGGTGGTGATCCCCACAGAGATGCTGTCCTGGTCCCTGTGGCTGGGGCACCCCTCGGCCTCCACAGGGTTTCTTATCAGATCAGAGGGACCGTTTGCAGAGCTCACAGTGTTACATTCACCTGAGCCATGCTGTCCTGCAGCAGGCTCCGTCCCAGTCCATCCCTCACTCGTGCCCTGTTCCCTGGCAGACTGCCCGCAGATCCAGTGTGTCCACCCGTATGTGGCCCAGCAGCCAGATGAGCTGTCCTTAGAACTGGCTGACATCCTCAACATCCTGGACAAGACAGATGACGGTACGGGGGACGGGCTGGGGCTGGGCTGGGCGTCCCTGTGTAAGGGTGGGCAACACTAGGCAGGTGGCTCTTGAGCAGACAGGAGGAGTCCTCTGGCCACAGAGAGACCCTAGCAGCAGCATCACAGCCAAGAGAGCTACTGCTCCTAAAACTGAGCAAATCCAGGCTGCCCTGAGCTGTGGCAATGCTGGCACAGCCACCCTAGCGCTGGCTGTGGGCCATGGCAGGGCTAGCACAGACACCCCATATGTTGCCTAGAGCTGTTCTTACCTTGATGATGCTTCACAGCCACCCAGTCCCGGTCTCTGGGGCACACTCGTAGCTGGTGAACTCAGTCACGTTGGGTCTCCGCTGTGGACTGCTCCTGTGGCATCAGGGGCAGTGAGTGGAGCGCGCTCAGTGGCAGCAGTGCCTGCTTTCTGCTGGCATCCCTTGAGCCAGTTGTCCAAACACAGTGCTGCTAAGGCAAGCGGGCCTTCTTGGCTAGATTTACCAACTGGGTCCACTCCACCACAGGCCTCTGAGCAGCTTCCAGAAAGCACGGCCAGCTCTGTAGGCTCTTTCCAGCACAGCTGTCCCAGTGCACGAGCAAAGGCTGTTCCTTCCTTGTTTATGCCTGTCTCTGTCTCTGCTCAGGCTGGATATTTGGGGAGCGCCTTCACGACCAGGAGAGGGGCTGGTTCCCCAGTTCTATGGGGGAGGAAATCCTGAACCCCAAAATCCGAGCCCAGAACTTGAAGGAGTGTTTCCGGGTGCACAAGTCAGATGACAGTCAGCGGAGGAAACTGGGCAGCAGAAACCGCCAATGACCGCTGGTGTCCCCGAGCGTCTGGAGAGCCTTTAGGAGAGGGACAGAAGACAGAGGCTGCCAGCTGGCAGGATATGGCAGCGGTGCCATGGGCCGTGGTGCAGGACTTGGCGTGCCAGACCAGGCACACACACCCCTGAACAAACAGATTGTAGTTCCTGGGCTCCCTGCGGCTCTGTTCCTTCCCTGGAGGTCAGTGCTTCGAACTGGCTGAAATAACCCCTTTCCAGGTGTTCTCTAAAGCCCTAAAGAGCATGAGCTGAATGGACCTAGCCCAAAGGCCAGCGGGTGCTGGCCAGCTGGCCCCCAATCCCTGCACACGTGCTGGCTGGGGCTGGCTCAGGACGCTTTGGAAAGGCACATGGCCACAAACGTAACTAAGTGATTTCCATCACCCAGTTCGAGCACCTACAGCTCGCCGCTACCCGTCAAGGTTGGGGCCCTCCTAAAACTGTTTCGGTTTCTGCCCCTGTAAGATGCAGAGGAGCTGTCTTGCCACCTGTCACACAGCCCGTTGGCACCAGGCTGGGACGAGCCCCAGGAGCTCCACCTCCCTAGTCTTGCTGTGAAGCTGCTGGGCCCATTCCCACAGGCAGACCCTCGATCCACTTCCAGTCAAAGACTCCGAAATGCTCCGTACCCAGCGCCACTCCACCAGCAGCCCAACCTCACCAGCCCTGACCCACGTCTCTGCCCTCCTGATGGCCTCAAAGCACATCTGGGCTCTGCTCCGTGGCACACCCCTCTTCCTCAGCCTGCACCCCTCTGCAGCACCGCTGCAGAAGCCTGGTACCATGGCCCTTCCCGGCTGATACGGCACTCACAGTCTCCAGCACTCCCTGCTGCCGAGGCACAGAGCACGGGAGCTCTGTAACACAGGAGCACCAGCAGACCTGAGCTGCCACGCAGCAGGCGAGTAGCGTTACCCCAGGAGTTGCTGTCCCACAATCGCTGCCTGCATGCTTGTAACCCACACCACCCAGCTACGCGCACAAACTCCCTGTACAGGCTCACCTCTGTGTATATATGCAAATCCTCTGTCACCCGCAGAGACGGATCGTCACTCCTGCCGGCTGTGGCACTGAGCATCGCATGAAGCCCAGAGCACAGCACGGAGACCGGCCAGGGGACAGACCCACGGCAGCTGCTTGTTGTTCCTCTGAACAGTCCCACATGTGGCCACAGCCAAGGGCTTCATAGCCACAGGCTGTTCCCAAGCTGTGGCCAGCGTCCATCAGGGAAATCAATCATTTGGCATCTTTCCATAACGCTGCAAGGAGAGTCTTCCAGGCGCTGTAGCCTGCGCTGCTGTACGCTCCGGTGGCACCACAGATGTGCTCGAAAAGAGGATGGAGAGCAGCCGCCTGCCGATGGGACCACGCACCAGCCACGTGCATGGAGCCGAGGAGCATGGCCACGCTGGTGGCAGCGTGGAGAGGAAGCAAGACCCTGGAGAGCCACTGGAGGGGGGCTCTGGAGTGCTGCGTGGGGCCTGGGTTACATGTGGGGTGTGCCAGACCCAGGTGAGGGAGGGCTGGGGCTGCCCTGGCACAGCCACCCCAGAGTCAGCCCTGCACTGGGGGGGCTGCAGCCAACCCCAGGACTGGCCTGGTGGGAGCCACAACAGTGAAGGGAGAACAAAGGCATTCTCCTGCTCCAGCCCAGCTCAGTGCCACCACATTCGCGTGTGACAACAGCCAGCAGGGCTGTGCTTACCCAGGTCACCTGCAGCAGCTCACACCAGCTGGAGGCTGCCGGCCACCTGTCAGTGCCCAGCCCAGAGCTGGAGACCAGGAAGGTATTCCAGTCTGGGGTGTCAGGCTCATTTAATGGGGACACCCCAAGTCAGGCCCATCCCCAGCAGCACCCCACGGTCAGCTTCGAGTACAAACAAACCGCCAGCACAGGGTGCAGACCTTGCGGCAGCCACAAATTCTCTAATGCAAAACCCAGAGGGGCTCCAGCTCTAGGATGTCCTTAAAATCACCTGAGAAATCGCCACATCCCAGATCTTCCAGCTTCGCAGCCCCACATGCCCACCTGGGATGTTTCTGATCGCACAGAAATGCTCTCGTACACATCAGAAACGCTCTCGTACCCATCAGAAACAGCAGTTTCACTAGAGGAGGGGCCAACCCAGGTGCCCCAGTGCCAGGACGCCAGTTGCTCACTGCCTTTCTCAGGGCAGAAGGGCTCAGGGCAGCCACGCACTGTCCCGTCACCCACCGCTGAGCCCTGGGACTCGCTCTGGCCCCTCTTGCGCTGTTGTGACTTTTTAGGACTCCGAACCCCAGGCACAGGGTGTGCCGTTTTCAGGCACCAAGTGGCATCCAGTGTTATTTCCTCAGCCCCAGCCCTGCACGCTTCCCTTTCTGTGGTCTCAAGTGTTGTACAGGGCCAGGCCTGGGGCCCACGGGCACGGGCTGGACCCCCCCAGCCCCCCGCCGGGCTGCCTCAGCAAACCAAGGGGAACTTCTCGTTGTCTCATTTTTGTGTGATAAAATATAGCTGAGCAAGCCAGTGCCAAAGCAACATGCCTGCGTCTTCTTCCTCCCTCCGCACCAACTGCTCGCCTCCTCCCCAGTCCCCTTCAGTGTGACTGGTGAGGGGCAACTGGCCTGAACACAGAGGGTAGAAGCGGGGCTGAACACATGGGGTGGGGTGAGACTGGGGAAGCACTGGGGTGGTTTACACCAACCGAACCAGCCCTTCCCAAGGAAAGCTGTGCAAGGTGATGCCCAACACCATTACCACCACCCAGACTACACCAAGGCTACCAGTGCAAAGCCACTCACTGCTGCAGGTTGCTCCTGACCGGGGGGCTGACACTGCCTGCTGTGGTCAAGCCTGCCAGGTCTGCATGTGCCCAGAGATCCGCCCGCTAAGAGCGAAGGGCTCTTAGGGTGCAGCTTTGCTGCCCAGGACAGAAGCTCGAGTGCCTTTTCCCATGCCCATGGCAACATTCTCCCCAGGGGGCCCTGGGCAGACGGAGAGTGGGGGCAGTTGAGGGCAGGAGGCTGGTTGTGTCACAGAACGATCTTTTATTGAGTTCAGGAGGCCGAGAACTTTCTCAGCGTGATGACGACCAAGGCCACAAGCACAGACGTACCCAGGAGGGAGGCGATGACAATGGCTCCGATCGCTCCGGGCCCCAGCGAGCCTGCAGGGACAGAGAACAAGGTGGCATAAGGTCAGCAGAGCCGGTGGGTCCCAGGCAGGAAGGGCTATGGGGGTCACTCCCACACCCAGCATGTCCCCAGCCATTGAGCCACGCTCCTGCCCTGGAGCTCCCTGCAGCAGCCATGGTGGCCCTGCTCCCCTGTCCCCACGCAGCCGAGGGGTGGTCCTGTGCCCCAACTCCTGTGCCCTGGAGCCAGCCACTGCGTCCTTCGCCAGCTCCCCATGACAAGGACGGCTGCCACAAAGTGGGTCTTTGGCGCTCAGCTTCCCTATTGTCCTGGTTAACACCCGCACCAAGAGCTGCTTTGCTTGTTGCAGAACGGCATCTCCACAGGCGTTCGCTGGAGTTCAGGAGCCAGGAAAGGTGGCCACGCTCCCTGTTCAAAGAGCTTTAGACACGGTGTTGCCCTGGAGAGCCCTGCCTGGGTTCAAGGCACTCTCTGCAGGTGCCTCCTGGGACACGTCAGACCAGGGCAGGAAGAAAGGCCTCGGCAGCTGCTCTGGGGCTGGCAAGCACTCCGTGCCAGAGGCTTTTCGGCAGGGAAGATTCCCTGAGCAGGCGATACACACGCCCTTCTACCCCAGCAGCGGGGCTGGGAACAGGCCAACTCTGATGGCTCAGCCAACCTCTTGGGAGGTGACAGGCCCATAAATATCAAATCCACAGCAAGGGCATCCCAAGCCACTGTGGGAGCGACCCATGGGCAGCTCACCGCGCAGCCACATACCATTCCCGGTGTCCAGCCGGTGCAGGTGGGTGGTGTCCTCGGGCTCCAGCTCGGAGGTGTATGGGGGGAAGGCGGTGGCATCTGAGAGCCGGGCTGTGGTGGTGGCGGCATCGAAGGGGCCGGCTCCAGAGGGCAGCTCGGGCGGCTCGTTCCAGAGGGTGGGGACCGGGCCCTGCGGGTACTCTGCTGGGAGACAAGCACCCACGGTCACTCACAGGCACAGGTGGTCCCAGCCAGGCTGCTGGTGACAGCTGCAGCTCAGCAGGTCCCTGGGCTCCAGTCGCCTGCCCTGGTGTAGATGGAGGGTGACCTGAGGGCTGAGAAACCTGGTAGTGCAAAGTCCATCTCTGGGAGGGCACCACCGCTGCAGAACACCAACACCAAGAGCAGCCGAAGGCAACATCCATGCCCTGGGATGGAACCACACTGCCACAGGCTTCTGAGGCAACCTGGTGTACACACGGGATGACAGGGAGCTCCCCACAACCATGCGACCTCTGCCCGTGCATGAACATCTGCAGCCAGTTTGTGCGTGGAGGCCCACGAGACTGGGCTGGGAGGGACCGTCACGTTCCTGCAACAGGCAGAGGCCACCTGCACCGGCCAAATTCACAGCGTCTCAGGGCCCTTCTGTCCTGCACCACCACCCCATGCAGCATAGGATGCCAGAGGTGCTGGCACTGTGCAGGACATGGCTCTCGCACATGGGAGCCCCAGAGCCCTGACTTCCCTCTGCCCCACCTCCGCGCCGTGCTGGGAAGACGAAAGCTGGGCTGGGCTCTGTTTGATGTTACCATTCACCTCCTGTTATTTCTTCCCCCTGCGGGGTCAGGGACCAAACCAGAGAGCCCTCCCTGTCTGCGTGTGGCTGAGCCGAGCGCTCCCTGTCAATGCCCGGCTTGTTCGGGTGGGCCCTGGCGGGAGTGGGAGACATTCCACAGCTCCCTGCTGAAACCGCTGGGAATGTTGCACTGGGATGGGGAAAAAAAGGTGGGGGAGGAAAATGAACAGCATCCAAGGGCCCACCTGAACTGACACCATGGTTACCAGGGCTGGGCAAAAGGGTGTCAGAGGAGCCAGAGCCGGCAGCCTGGGTTCCCCAGGGCAAGGGACCCCACCTCTGGCATGGGTGCCTCAGTGTACCAGGGGCACTTGGAGACCTGGCCCAGGCTGTCCCCGGCCC